TATGGTATCATCATTCCATAGTAGAGAATGTGAAGGATGATAAACATCGAGTCATTAGAATAGAGAAATGGTTTTTATTTTATTTTAGTTCAAAGTAATGTTAGTCTAATGAGGACAAGGAAGGGGGAGGCATTATGGAGATATGTGGAGCTAACTTTCCTGAAATTAATCAATTTTATAGCAATATTTTAAGAGAATCTGGTTCATGTAAAAGAAATTGTAGGGGAAAAAGTGGGGATGATATGGAGTAATGGTGGATTTTTTGCTACTTAGAAAAAGAAACAGAACCCATTAAGAGGTGGAGATTGTAAGGCAAATATAGTAGATTTGCTAAGTTCCCCTCTTCCCTCATTCCCACTTGGGCAAGAATATTAGCTATCAGATCCTAGGGAATTCTCATATCCTCTAACTAGCCCTTGTCCTGTCTCTCCCAGCAAGTCCTATTTCTGTCAGCATTCCAGCTTCATCACTAAACACTGTCAAGAACTGACAAAAGTCTGAAAGTTTACTCTTCTTGGAAACTAACAGGTTAGCCTTCCACAGTTCTCTGAATGCTGGCAGAAGATATGAGACTCCTGGGTCAGAGATTAAGGACTTTATTACTCTTGGCAAAGCAAACATCAGGATTTCTATATTTGCACTGGTTCCCCTTGCCTCTCAACTCCCTACCGGGAGCAGCCCAGGTTGATGCTGTGCACACAGTAGGTCCAAGATCCACCTGAGGAATCTCAAGCGTAGGTGAAGCAGCACCAGCACCAGTTGGGAGCTTGTTGGAAATGCAGACCCTACACCCCACCTCAGACCTACTGATTCAGAGTCTGCATTTTAATAAGATCTCCAAGTGATTGCTGTGCCCATTAAAGTTTGAGAGGTCCTGGAGTCCTGCAGCTTCACCTGCAGAGAGCAGCAGCCAGCACCAGGAGAGGAGCAGCATGTGGAAATTCCTCAGGTTTAACTGTAACAGATCTGCTGCTTTCATGGTCCTTTCTTTGTTGGCCCGCATATATACAAGTAGAGACTTTACTTATGCCTCTCCCTTCTTTCCAACTGTGCTAGGTTGTGGCACTCTCATCCATTCAATAAAAACTTACAGAACTTTTCTCTTAAGCACTAAGGATAGTGATAGGATGGCATAGCTCCAGATCTCAAGGAGCTTAGAGTCTAACAGGATACAGATACCAAATGAGTAATAACAAATTTGATGAATGTTAGGAAGACAAACAGGATATGATGGGAAAAGAGCTGGAGATGGAGAGTCAGAGGAGGATTTTCTGGAGAAAGTGTTGTTTAAGCTTATATGAAGGCACAGGTAGGTGAGGTGTGGGTGAACTGGGATATTGTTCTAAGCACAAAGAACACCACCCATGAACAGAGTCCTTTGGACATTTATGTTTATGTTTCCAATGCCTTGCACTGTTCTTGGCATACAATAAGTGTTTGCTGAATCAATAAGTGTTCTGTCATGTTTCAAACGTCTACTCTCTGGCACTGGAGATGGTGGAAGCTTTATTTTTCTATTCAAAGGAAATAAGATCCCTTAAGGGGGAAATGAGAAGGAAGAGAGAAAGCTGACTGTTGTGCAAATTGCTAAATTGGAACTGTGAGTGGGAATGAAAAATTGATTTACATGAATTTTCCTCCCTCAAGCAACTTGACAATTTATTCTGTTCTGGAGAATTTTCAGTTTTTGGCTTTCAAAACCAAACTGTTTCTTATTCTAAATTTCTTGGCCTGCTGTGAAACTAGCATTTAGTGTCTTTTACAGCATACTCTGATTAGGTCATGGAAATTCACAGCTAGATCAAACTGGAAAACAGCTAGATCAAACACAGCTAAATCAAAATGGAAAATTTGGAACTTTCACTGCCCATTTTACTTTGTGCATAATGTTGGAAAGTGTTATGAAACATTGACTTTTAAATCATTTTTTTCAAAAGAAATATCAGATGATCAGAATAATTGTCATCACTTACTGTATGCATTGCATGGCAAAATTCTCTTGTTAACTCTATAAGAGACTAAGTTGAGGAAAATGAAAGTTGCCAAATATTAGCAATTTCATATGGTTCAACTTAATATTATCTTCAGACTCTCACCTGAGACTTATAAAGAGGTCAGAGGATTTCTGATAGCCATAGCCCTACTCCAAAATTTAGTACTGAATTTTCTTTATAGACAAAGAGATTCTGAGAGAGTTATAGCTCCTTAATACACT